TCTGGCAGGTTCAGTGGCTTCAGGTCGTTCTTCTCAATCTTCAGGCTCGGGTAGTCTACTCCCCGCGGGGGGGGGGGGGGGGCAGGGGGGGCAGGACAGGCCGAGGGGCAGGGACGTCGATCAGAGGGGCAGGGACGTCACGGGGGCCGGTGCAGCGATCGTTCCGATCGGCAAGCGATGGGCGTAGCAGGCACGGCATGACAACGCTCTCTCAGCCTCGAGCTCCAGGGTGAGAGCTCCGGGCCCAGTGGGCGTGGGGGGGCCGGGGGGTCAGGGACAGGTCCACGACCCTCGCTTGGCGCTGCCCCACGGAGGTGCACTCTTAAAACTTGTGTGCAACATTTCTAGTAAACGTCGCCACTGGGGAGACAAGGCGGCCGGGCGTGGTGCTGGCCACCCACCCCCGTGTGCCGTGCCGGCATTCGAAGGTGCTGCTACTCGCTACAGCACTTGCCCCAGCAGTCTGTTGCAGGCTACAAACTCTTAAAGTATTTTTTATTTATTTTTAGCAGGCGTGAGGATCCTAGTGAGCTGCTGCTAAGCGACCCGGTCGTCACGAATGACGTCTCACCAATGGTTCATCATCGTCATCGTCACCACCACCATCACCATCACGTCATCATCATCGTCATCATCAACGTCATCATCACCACCACCCATAAAATCATCATCAACGTCATCGTCATCATCAACGTCATCATCAACGTCATCATCATCGTCATCGTCACCACCACCATCAACGTCATCATCATCGTCATCACACCACCATCAACGTCATCATCAACGTCATCATCAACGTCATCATCATCGTCATCATCACCACCCACCATCAACGTCATCATCAACGTCATCATCACCACCACCATCAACGTCATCATCAACGTCATCATCAACGTCATCATCATCGTCATCGTCACCACCACCATCAACGTCATCATCATCATCACCACCACCGTCAACGTCATCATCATCGTCATCACCACCACCATCAACGTCATCATCAACGTCATCATCACCACCACCATCAACGTCATCATCATCGTCATCATCACCACCACCACCCATCAACGTCATCATCACCGTCATCATCAACGTCATCATAATCGTCATCATCACGTCATCATCATCGTCGTCGTCATCATCATCGTCATCATCGTCGTCATCGTCGTCGTCATCGTCGTCTTCGTCATCGTCGTCATCGTCGTCTTCGTCATCGTCGTCTTCGTCATCGTCGTCTTCGTCATCGTCGTCGTCGTCGTCATCGTCGTCATCGTCGTTATCGTCGTCGTCGTCATCGTCGTCATCGTCGTCTCGTCGTCGTCGTCTTCGTCGTCATCGTCGTCATCGTCGTCATCGTCGTCTTCGTCATCGTCGTCATCGTCATCGTCGTGTGCAAAACGTCTAGTAGCAGACAACACGCTGAACGTGTGTTTACCGCACCTCGGATGAGCACGGATGGCTTCGTACGGTGAGAATGCGACACGAGGGCGACGTGGGGGTGACGTGGGGGGTGACATGGGGGGTGTCGTGGGGGGACGTGGGGGGTGACGTGGGGGTGACGTGGGGGTGTCGTGGGGGGGTGACGTGGGGGGTGACGTGGGGGGTGACGTTGGGGGGTGACGTGTGGGTGACGTGGGTGACGTGGGGGTGTCGTGGGGTGTCGTGGGGGGTGTGGGGGGTGACGTGGGGGTGACGTGGGGGGTGACGTGGGGGGTGACGTGGGGGTGACGTGGGGGGTGACGTGGGGTGACGTGGGGGTGACGTGGGGGTGTGGGGGGGGTGTGGGGGTGTCGTGGGGGGTGACGTGGGGGGTGACGTGGGGGGTGACGTGTGACGTGGGGGGACGTCGTGACGTGTGGGTGACGTGGGGTGTGACGTGGGGGTGACGTGGGGGTGACGTGGGGTGTGACGTGGGGGGACGTCGTGACGTGGGGGTGACGTGGGGTGTGACGTGGGGGGTGACGTGGGGGTGACGTGGGTGTGACGTGGGGGGTGACGTCGTGACGGGGGGGTGACGTGGGGGGTGACGTGGGGGGTGACGTGGGGGGTGACGTCGTGACGTGGGGTGACGTGGGGGGTGACGTGGGGGGTGACGTGTGACGTGGGGGGACGTCGTGACGTGGGGTGTGACGTGGGTGTGACGTGGGGTGTGATGTGGGGTGTGACGTGGGGTGTGACGTGGGGTGACGTACTGGTGATGGGAGCGGCGTTGTTGGGGGTGTCCGCGCGCAGGCACTGCGTCGTCTGTGTGGACGGCTGGGACAGCCCCTGGGTGCTCTCACTGTCAAACTGCACGCGGGACACACGGCACACCACGTAACGCGTTTAGTATAAACACACGGCACACACACACTTTAGTATAAACATACACCACACACACGTTTAGCATAAACACACGGTACACACACACAGTACACACACTGTATAAACACGCGTACACACACACGGTACACACACACTGTATAAACACGGTAAACACACACACATAACGGGTTTAGTATAACACCGGTACACACACACAGTACACACACACTGTATAAACACACGGTACACACACACACATAACACGTTTAGTATAAACACACGGTAACACACACACGCGGCACACACACGGCACACACAACTCCACCACACGTAGCACACACACACTCCACACACACACACACACGGTCCACACACACACGGTCCCACACGCGGCACACACACTCACACACTCCACACACACACCCACACACGCACTCCACACACACGGCACACCACTCCACACACATACACACACGGCCACACACTCCACACACACACTCCGCACACACACACTCCACACACACGTGCACACACGTGCGAGTGGTGGTGGTGGTGGCGGCTCAGGCGTCACCTGTCCTCCTCCACCTTCTTCATGCTGTGGATGTGCAGCAGCGCCAGCACGAGCGCCACCAGGAAGATGACGGCGCAGCAGACGCCCACGTGATGTAGAAGACGCGCGTCGACGTCGTCGCCGCCGCCGCCGCCGCCACCGCCACCGTCGCGCCGCCGTGCCCGTCTGGCGGCGGCGCCGACGCAGCAACAACAACAACCACAGCAACATCAACAACACAGGCGGCGGGGGCATTACCGAAATAATCGCAATAACAACAAAACAACCACAACAAAACAACCACAACACAAGCGGTAGGACATCACCAACCTCAGCAACAATCGCAACAACAACCACCACAACAACAACAAGCGCGGTGTGTGTTTGGGTGCGTGTGTGGGTGTGCATGTGTGTGCGAGTGTATGCGTGCGCGTGTGCATGTGCGTGTGTGTGCGTGCGTGCGGGGAGCAGTGGGCAGTGGTTAGCGCTGCGCTATGAACCCGGAGAACCGAGTCCGATTCCCGCACACAGCCAACACCCAGTGACGATTATCTGAACCGGTCCTGGGCTTCACCTAGGTCGACTCAGCATCAAATGAGTACCTGGTGTGGTGTGTAACCATCGCCACTGGGGAAAACAAAGGCGGTCGGACGTGGTGCTGGCCACCCACCCCCTCGTGTAGGTGCTCGCTAACAGCACTTGCCCTGACAGTCTGCTAAGGCTATACGGGGGATCTTTGTCTTTGTGTGCGTGCGCGTGGCTTCTCACCGGTGGATGGACCGAGCGGTCCTTCATCCAGATCGGCTTCTGCAGAGCACACAGAGACACAGAGAGAGGGCGCAAGCGTGTACAGGAGTGACGCGGACAGACGGTTAGCTGAACAGGCGGTTATGGGTAAAGGCGGTTAACTGGACAGGCGGTTATGCGGACAGGCGGGGGGTAGGACGAGACGGGACCCGGTGTGCGTGTGCATGTGTGTGCGTGTACATGTGTGTGCGCGTGTCTGCGTGCGCGCGTGTGTGTGCGTACGTCGGGAGCAGGATTTCCGCCGCTTGAAGTTGAGGGTGGTGACGTTTTTCCCGGCCGCGGTGGAGGTGGCGGTGGAGGTGGTGGAGGTGGAGGTGGCGGTGAGGTTCAGCTGCATGAGCAGAGCCACTTCGCTCTCACGCGGCGCAGGGCAGGTTCACGCGGAACACTGGACACACGGCGGACACGCGGTGAGACACGGGGACACGGTGAGACACGGGGACACGGTGAGACACGGTGAGACACGGGGACACGGGGGACACGCGTGAGACACGGGGAGACACGGTGAGACACGGTGAGACACGGTGAGACACGTGAGACACGGGAGACACGTGAGACACGTGAGACACGGGGACACGGTGAGACACGGTGAGACACTGAGACACGGGGACACGGTGAGACACGGTGAGACACACGGTGAGACACGGTGAGACACGGGGACAAGGTGAGACATGGTGAGACATGGTGAGACACGGGGACACGGTGAGACACGGTGAGACACGGGAGACACGGTGAGACACGGTGAGACACGGTGAGACACGGTGAGACACGGGACACGGTGAGACACGGTGAGACACACGGTGAGACACGGTGAGACACGGTGAGACACGGTGAGACACGGGGACACGGTGAGACATGGTGAGACATGGTGAGACACGGGGACACGGCGAGACACGGTGAGACACGGGAGACACGGTGAGACACGGTGAGACACGGCACGGTGAGACACGGTGAGGCACGGTGAGACACGGTGAGACACGCACGGTGAGACACGGTGAGGCATGGTGAGACACGGGGACACGGTGAGACACGTGAGACACGGGGAGACACGGTGAGGCACGGGGAGACACGGGGAGACACGGGGAGACACGGAGAGACACAGTGAGACGCGGAGAGACACGGGGAGACACGGTGAGACACGGTGAGACACGGGGAAGACACGGCGAGACACGGAGAGAACCAGTGAGACACAGTGAGACACAGAGAGACACGGTGAGACACAGAGAGACACGGTGAGACACAGTGAGACACGGTGAGACACGGTGAGACACGGTGAGACATGGTGAGACACGGTGAGACACAGAGAGACACACAGTGAGACACGGAGAGACACAGTGAGACACGGTGAGACACAGTGAGACACAGAGAGACACGGTGAGACACAGAGAGACACGGTGAGACACAGAGAGACACGGTGAGACACAGTGAGACACAGTGAGACACGGTGAGACATGGTGAGACACAGTGAGACACAGAGAGACACGGTGAGACACAGTGAGACACAGAAAGACACGGTGAGACACAGAGAGACACGGTGAGACACAGTGAGACACAGTGAGACGCGGTGAGACGCGGTGAGACACAGTGAGACACAGAGAGACACGGTGAGACACAGTGAGACACAGAGAGACACGGTGAGACACAGTGAGACACAGTGAGACGCGGTGAGACACGGAGAGACACGGTGAGACACGGTGAGACACGGTGAGACACGGTGAGACACAGTGAGACACAGAGAGACACGGTGAGACACAGTGAGACACAGAGAGCCACGGTGAGACACGGTGAGACACGGTGAGACATGGTGAGACACGGTGAGACACGGAGAGACACGGTGAGACACGGTGAGACACAGTGAGACACAGTGAGACACAGAGAGACACGGTGAACACAGTGAGACACGGTGAGACACACAGTGAGACACGGTGAGACACGGTGAGACGGTGAGACACAGTGAGACAGTGAGACGCGGTGAGACGCGGTGAGACACAGTGAGACACAGAGAGACACGGTGAGACACAGTGAGACACAGAGAGACAGGGTGAGACACAGAGAGACACGGTGAGACACAGTGAGACACAGTGAGACGCGGTGAGACACGGAGAGACACGGTGAGACACGGTGAGACACAGAGAGACACGGTGAGACACGGTGAGACACGGTGAGACACGGTGAGACACAGTGAGACACGGTGAGACACGGGGAGACACGGTGAGACACGGTGAGACACGGGGACACGAGACACGGTGAGACACACGGTGAGACACGGTGAGACACGGGGACACGGTGAGACACGGTGAGACATGGTGACACGGGGACACGGTGAGACACGGTGAGACACGGGGAGACACGGTGAGGCACGGGGAGACACGGGAGACACGGGGAGACACGGTGAGACACAGTGAGACGCGGAGAGAACGGTGAGACACGGTGAGACACGGAGAGACACGGAGAGACACGGAGAGACACAGTGAGACACAGAGAGACACAGAGAGACACAGAGTGAGACACGGAGAGACACGTGAGACACGGTGAGACACAGTAGACACAGAGAGACACGGTGAGACACAGAAAGACACGGTGAGACACAGAGAGACACGGTAGACACAGTGAGACACAGTGAGACGCGGTGAGACGCGGTGAGACACAGTGAGACACAGAGAGACACGGTGAGACACAGTGAGACACAGAGAGACACGGTGAGACACAGTGAGACACAGTGAGACGCGGAGAGACACGGAGAGACACGGTGAGACACGGTGAGACACAGTGAGACACTGAGACACAGTGAGACACAGTGAGACACGGTGAGACACGGTGAGACACGGTGAGACACGGTGAGACACAGAGAGACACGGTGAGACACGGTGAGACACAGAGAGACACGGTGAGACACGGTGAGACACGGTGAGACTGAGACACGGTGAGACACGGTGAGACACGGTGAGACACGGTGAGACACGGGAGACACGGTGAGACACGGTGAGACACGGTGAGACACGAGAGACACGTGAGACACGGTGAGACACGGTGAGACACGTGAGACACGTGAGACACGTGAGACACGTGAGACACGGTGAGACACGAGAGACACGTGAGACACGTGAGACACGGAGAGACACGGTGAGACCAGTGAGATACGGTGAGACACGAGAGACACGGTGAGACACAGTGAGACACAGTGAGACACAGAGAGACACGGTGAGACACAGTGAGATACGGTGAGACACGGTGAGACACAGTGAGACACGGTGAGACACGGTGAGACACGGAGAGACACGGTGAGACACGGTGAGACACAGTGAGACACAGTGAGACACGGTGAGACACGGTGAGACATAGTGAGACACGGTGACACACAGTGAGACACGGCGAGACACGGTGAGCACAGTGAGACACGGTGAGACACAGTGAGACACAGTGAGACGCGGTGAGACACGGTGAGACACGGTGAGACACGGTGAGACACAGTGAGACACAGTGAGACACAGTGAGACGCGGTGAGACACGGTGAGACACGGTTAGACACAATGAGACGCGGTGAGACACGGTGAGACACAGAGAGACACGGTGAGACACAGTGAGACACGGTGAGACACAGTGAGACGCGGGGAGACACGGTGAGACACGGGGACACGGTGAGACGCGGTGAGACACGGTGAGACACGGTGAGACACACGGTGAGACGCGGTGAGACGCGGTGAGACGCGGTGAGACGCGGTGAGACACAGTGAGACACGGTGAGACACGGTGAGACACGGTGAGACACGGTGAGACACGGTGAGACACGGTGAGACACAGTGAGACACGGTGAGACACGGTGAGACACGGTGAGACACAGTGAGACACGGTGAGACACGGAGAGACACGGTGAGACACGGTGAGACACAGTGAGACACAGAGAGACACGGTGAGACACGGTGAGACACGGTGAGACACGGTGAGACACGGTGAGACACGGTGAGACACATGAGAACAGTGAGAACACGAGAGACACGGTGAACACAGTGAGACACGTGAGACACGGTGAGACACAGTGAGACACAGAGAGACACGGTGAGACACAGTGAGACACAGAGAGACACGGTGAGACACGGTGAGACACAGTGAGATGGTGAGACACGGAGAGACACGGTGAGACACGGTGAGACACAGTGAGACACAGTGAGACACAGAGAGACACGGTGAGACACAGTGAGACACAGTGAGACACGGTGAGACACACAGTGAGACACGGTGAGACACGGTGAGACACAGTGAGACACAGTGAGACACGGTGAGACACAGTGAGACACAGTGAGACGCGGTGAGACACGGTGAGACACAGTGAGACACAGAGAGACACACGGTGAGACACAGTGAGACACAGTGAGACACAGTGAGACGCGGTGAGACACGGTGGACACAATGAGATGCGGTGAGACACGGTGAGACACAGAGAGACCGGTGAGACACAGTGAGACACGGTGAGACACGGGGACGCGGGGACACCGGTGAGACGCGGGGAGACACGGTGAGACACGGGGACCGGTGAGACGCGGTGAGACACGGTGAGACACGGTGAGACACACGGTGAGACGCGGTGAGACGCGGTGAGACGCGGTGAGACGCGGTGAGACGCGGAGACGCGGGGACACACGGTGAGACACGGTGAGACACGGGGACACGGTGAGACGCGGTGAGACACGGGACACGGGGACACGGTGAGACGCGGGGAACACAGGGACGCGGTGAGACGCGTGAGATGCGGTGAGACACGGTGACACACAGTGAGACACAGTGAGACACGGGGAGACACAGAGAGACACGGGGAGACACAGAGAGACAGGGGGAGACAGGGTGAGACACAGAGAGACAGGGGGAGACAGGGTGAGACACGGTGAGACACGGGGAGACACAGTGAGACACGGTGAGACACGGTGAGACACGCAGACACGCAGAGACACGGTGAGACCAGTGAGACACAGAGAGACACAATGAGACACAGAGAGACACAATGAGACACGGTGAGACACAGAGAGACACAGAGAGACACAATGAGACACGGTGAGACACAGAGAGACACGGGGAGACACAGTGAGACACAGTGAGACCGGTGAGACACAGTGAGACACAGAGAGACACGGGGAGACACATGAGACACAGTGAGACCGGGGAGACAGGTGAGACACGGTGAGACACGGTGAGACACAATGAGACAACGGTGAGACGCGGTGAGACACAGTGAGACGCGGAGAGACACGGTGAGACACGGTGAGACACGGTGGAGACACGTGAGACACGTGAGACACGTGAGACACGGTGAGACGCGGAGAGACACGGTGAGACACGGTGAGACACGGAGAG